CAAACTCTCAAAATGCGAATTCCACCAGGAAAGGATAGAATACCTAGGCTATCGCATATCCCCACAGGGCATTGAAATGGACCCAGAGAAGGTCAGAGCAGTATTAGAATGGGCACCACCCCGCACAAGAAAGCAACTACAAAGTTTCCTGGGCTTTGCAAATTTTTACCGCCAATTCATCCCCTCATTTGCACAGATAGCCTTGCCACTCACTAATACTAAAAACGAAGGGAACACCCTCAGAAAACCTAGCCAGCCACTAACATGGACAATGGAGTGCCAAGCAGAGTTTGAGAGACTAAAGAGACTTTTTTCTGCCGAACCAATACTAAGGCACCCAGACATGGACAAGCCCTTCGTAATACAGGCAGATGCAAGTGATGTGGCAGTGGGGGCTGTGCTATTACCAGAAAATGATGATGCAGTATTGCAACCCTGTGCATATACATCCAAGAAACTCACGGAAACAGACCAGCGCTGGCCCGTATGGGAGAAGGAGGCTTATGGGATAAGTTGGGCATTACTCACGTGGCGACAGTTCCTGGAAGGCAACAAAATCCCCTTCCAGGTATGGACTGATCACAAAAATTTAGAAGCCCTGAAAACTTCCAGGAAACTCAACCAAACAAGCCCGCTGGGTCCAGCATTTTCACAATTCCAATTTAAGCTCAAAAATGTACCAGGAAGAAAGAACTCCTGGCAGATGCACTATCTCGCATGCCCCAATATACACAGCGCACGAACCAACAGACTCTAGACCAAATAATGGCAGAGTCCACAACACTGGCAGCGCAGTAACACAAGAACCCCAAGCCAAAATAAAACCACAAGGGACAGCCAAAACTGGGATTGAATTCAGAAAAAGTTTGGAAACAGATGATTGGTTCCAGAAAAACAAACATGTGTGCACAATGAGAGACGGATTGCCTGGGGTAGGGGACAAGTTATATATACCAACAACTCAAAGACTAACTTTCATGCAACTTTGCCATGACACAAAATCAGCAGGGCATTTTGGATTTGTAAAAACTTTACACTTAATTAAACGGCAATTTTGGTGGCAATCAATAAAAAAGGACATAGAAAGTTATGTTGCCAGCTGCCCAACCTGTGCATCAGCAAAGAGGTTGCAAGGGAAATCGCCAGGGCTGTAAACACATGGCAAGTCCCTAGCCCCCTGAGGGAAATAGCCATGGATCTTATAGGGACTGCCTATGGAAAGCAATGGGATACTGTTATCTGGACAGTCAGGAACTATTTTCCAAACAGGTGCCACTTTATCCCTTGCCAAAAAAATTCCCATCGCAAAGGCCTTAGCCAGAACTTTATCTCAGAACATTTACAGATTGCACGGGAACACACAAAGCAATCATCTCTGAGAGGGGAGTGCAATTTACGTCGGCATTTTGGAAGGAATTTTTATCCCTTTTAGGGACCACTCAGGGATTGACATCTAGCCACCACCCTCAAGGAGATGGTCAAGCGGAACGGTGCCAGTCGGTACTTGAGCAATATTTGAGATGTTTTTTAAATTTCCAGAGTGATTGGACGGACTTACTTCCTTTTGCAGAAGTTGCCTACAATAATGCAGTCCACTCCAGCACAGGCTACACTCCTTTTCAAATAGCCAACGGCCAAAGTTTCAACCCTATGCCAGAGTTAACCCCAAAAGAACCAACGATCCCTTCACTGAAAGAATGGATGGAAAACCTACAAAACACCTGGCCAATAGTCAGAAGTTAGAAAAGCACTAGATGAAGCTAGGCAGGCATACAAAGCACAAGCTGATAAAAAAAGGGTTGAGCCTACACCATTCATTATAGGAGAAATGGTGTACTTATCTACAAAATACCTAAAGTCCCTACAGCCCTGTAAAAACTTGGACCAAAATATATAGGACCTTTTCCAATTAAAAGAATCATAAATCCAGTAACAGTAGAATTAGAATTACCCAAAAATCTCAGGCAAATACACCCAATTTTTCATTGCCGCTTGCTGAAAAGAGAGCATCAGTCACCTCTACGGCCAAAATCCCCCCCCACCTCCAATCATGGTGGAGGGGGAACACACTTCGAATCAAAGAGATCCTTGACTCTAGAATATCATGGAACAACTCATTACCTAGTTGCCTGGAAACACCTCCCTGCCTGCCCAAAAATGAGTGGGTACCATAAACGTCACGTCAGAGCCCGAAGCTATTTAAGAGGTTTCAACACAGAGTATCACTAACAAGCCTAACTAAATTTTTTTAACTTGTGTTTTCTTCAGTGGATCTCTCTTATTGTTTAAGAGGGGCCGGATGTCAGAATCCATCATATTTCATCTTTAATGATCAAATATAGAAACTCCCAATTCTGCCTTCTTGATGCTGCCATAAGAGGAGAGAAGGGGGAGAACAAAGGGGCTTTATGGCCCTCACTTCCGTCAGTAGACTTCAAAGAGCTGAATGCTGAATGTGTGTTTATTGTAACCTATTGTAACCTCAAAGCGTTAGCATCCAGAGAACATTAGCATTAACAAAGAAGAGTATTTGCCTTTCATGTAGTTATCTGAAGTATCCATCCAGACGGAAGAAAGAAGAAACGGGGTGGAATTGTGATACTTGAAACTATCACTGGAAGGGGGGTTGATTGGGTGGGACTACTGGGGAACCCCTTAAAACCTTGAATGGGAGAGCTTGGACCCCAAGTCCTGTATAGCATGCCTGGCAACCATTTTCTCTGATAAGGATTCCTGTTGGAAGATTTCCAAGAGTTCTGTCTTCTTAAGTATGCAACGGTGGGGTGGGTCATTTTTCACCAGATATCCAGGAACTCCAATATCTAGTGCGGACCTTGTTCCCGGGCGACGTCCGAGCCGGTATGGCTTTCTGAAATTTACTTCTCACCATATTTTTTATGGGAGAGACACTCTTTGTCTGACTCCTCTGATGAGACCTGTCCAGTATGGTTGAACCTCTGGCATAGCTCTCATCTTCCTCAGAGTACACAAGCCCCACAACCACGTCAAGGTAGTGCCTCACTGGGGGATTATTATTATTATTATTATTATTATTATTATTAAACTAAATTTCATTTTTATGTGCCATTGTGCCCACAGTAAAAAAATGGCAATAAAGATTATCTTATCTTATCTTATCATCTTATTTTATCTTATCTATTATTATTATTATATTATTATTACTATTATTATTATTAAACTAAATTTCATTTTTATGTGCCGTTGTGCCCACAGTAAAAAAATGGCAATAAAGATTATCTTATCTCATCTCACCTCATCTTATCTCATCTCATCTTATCTATTATTATTATTATTATTATTATTATTATTATATTTCCCAAAGTGTCAATCCTCACTTAACAACCAGTTACTTAGCAAACCACTCAAAGTTACAATAGACTCCCCCCCCTTCCAAAAGGTACCTATGATTTGGATTTAAAGGTCTAAAAAGGTCGCCACCTCCTCCATCCCACAGTCATATGATCACATTTCGGGCCCTGGGCAACTGGCCGGCATTGATCTCTGTTTGCAGTGCCCCACAATCACATCAGCACAATTTGCAAGTTAAAAAGAGAATCCGGAGTCCAGCAAGAGACCTTGTCTGCTGTTGCCCCCCCATCCCGTGGAATGCTCTCCCCCCCAGAGGGGAATCAGCCGCCCACTTTCCTAGTCTTTCCAAAATATCTCAAGACTTGGGGCTCACAGACTAGTATGAAACCTTGGGGGTGCATAGCACCCTAAAAGCTCTCCCCCCCCCCAACTGCCTTTTAATGTCACATCTTTAGCTCTAGGTAGTCCTCAACTTAGTGACCATTTGAAGTTACAACGGCACTGGAAAAAAGTGACTTATGACCATTTTCCATGCTTACGGCCCTTGCAACCCCCCCCCCATGGTCACGTGATCAAAATTCAGATGCTCGGCCACTGGCGTGTATTTACGACAGTTGCTGTGCCCCGGGATCATGCGATTCTCTTTTTGTGACGCCCCTGACAAGCAAAGTCAAGGGGGTAGTGGGATTGACTGAACAACCATGTCACTAACTTTTTTCATTATTATTATTAAAAAGTTTTATAAAAATTACAATATAAACCAAAATCAACCCACCCAAACCCCCCCCTCTCCCTCCCCCACTTCCCAGAGCTGAGTACAGGGTTACAAATATGATAATCATAATCTAACTAACATTAACCAACTATATAAATAACCAAGTCCATAATGCGCTTTAACTCCCCTTTAACATAAATATAAACAAATTGAAAATAAACATAATAATAATAAAAACATAAACAAGTTGATATCCTAATTATTAAACAATACAATCTCCAAATTGTTAAACAATACTAATACTAAAAATAATAATATCATAATAATACTCTAAATTCACTCATAGGCTAAAACCGTGTCACTAACTTAACAATTGCAGTGATCCACTTAACAACTGTGGCCAGAAAGGCCGTAAAACAGGGCAAAAGTCGCTTAACAAAAAACCAACCCCTTTTATTCTCACAGACCCGAGTCAATGTCCAAGGCAAACAAACACAGTTCACAGAAACTCGATCCTCAACATGAATAGATTGCCTTCGGCAACCAGCACCTCCCACACCTTCCCTGTTATTATTCAGCCCAGGCGTGGCTTCCTAATGCCTTCTCCTTTGCCTTTGGAGCTGCCCCATTGCATTCCTCTGTCCTACTCGCTTCTCTAGCCTGTGCTTTCGTGCATCTGGGATTTGTTCCAGCTGTTCTTCATCACTGTCCAACTCAGGCTCCCAGCACAGCTGTGTCTCAGCCTGAGCATGAGTAGAGGGGCCAGGCTCCTCGTCTGACTATAAGTCTTGGAGCTCCTCAGAGCCTTCCTCTAACTCTGATGTCACTCCAGGCCCCTCCTCCTCCTCCTCCTCTGATTCCTCAGACTCAGCTGCCGGATCCACTGGCTGGCGAGGAATCACAACACCAGGTTCCCTCTGGAGGAAAGGGAGATTTTGAGCACTTTGAAACATGATCAAGAAAACCCGTGAAATCTCACCTGAGTGTAGGTGCAGTTCTTTTTCTTGCACTTGCCACAAGTGAAAAGGTCTGTCTGGGTCCCTCCAGTTTTGGCCATCTGATGCTCCCGGATGGCTTCCTTAGTCATGGCTTTGCGGATCTCTTTCAGTTCATTGCTGGCCATTTCCTGTCCAGGAAAGAACGCAAAGGGTCACTTCAGTACCCAGCAGGCAAACGGGACAGCCGCCTTTGAAGGTAGAACACAGAAACATTTTAAACATTGAAGGCTCTTCATCCCAAAGTGCATAGCTAAAGGTCTATATGGGGACAAAAAAAACCAATAACTGGCACTTATTATTCCCTTAAGGCAGGGGTCCTCAACCGTGGCCACTTTAAGACTTGTGGACTTCAACTCCCAGAATTCCTGGCTGAGGAATTCTGGTCCACAAGTCTTAAAGTGGCCAAGGTTGAGGACCCCTGCCTTAAGGGAATAATAAAGCGAGTCACAAGGCAGCCGACAGCGACAAGTTCTAACGTAGTGGCCAAAATTGTGGAAACCTTTTGGGAAAAGTGTATTTTTGAGGTCTGATGGCTAATACCTTTTTTTGGGAGTAGTACCATAAAATTATATATCAATGGAAAGATAATTTAATCATGAATGTAATGCAACATAGTGTGTTCAATTATCTGTACTGTGTTCTATGAAAAGTTATAGCCAAATAACCAGAAAAAGGAAGCACAACTTGCTTAGGTTGAGATCAGGTAGCTTTCCTTTACCTGATTGTAGCCAATGAGCATGAGCGTTTGGAGAGCCAATCGGGGGTCATCTTGTTTTGGCAATAAGCCAATCAGATCACAGTAGGATTCAGTTATTGATGTCATGTATTGAAGCTGAGAGGCGGACATTTGTCAGTGTGTTATGTGATCGCTGTCAAGTTGGTTGGGGTTTTTGTGTTCTTTCATTTAGTGAGCTTGTAAAACGTAATAAAATTAAAGTAATGGTGCAAAGAGTTGACTGGTCGCCCAGAAAGCAATGTAAAATAGAATTATTAAGTGAACAAGGCTACAGTTATAAAGAAATTAGAAGAAAAATGGGTGGAAACTTAACCAAAGGTGGCATTTAATACCTCTAATACCATTTTCTTGAACACAGGTTCTCCTCAGGGCTGTGTCTTAAGTCCGCTGCTGTTCACCCTGTTGACCCATGATTGTTGTGCTAGGTTTGCCACCAACCATATTGTGAAGTTTGCAGATGATACAACAGTAGTGGGCCTTATTCAGGATGACAAGGTGGAAGCTTACCGCAAGGAGGTTGAAGGGTTGGTGAACTGGTGTAAGGAAAACAGCCTAGTTCTAAATACTGGAAAAAAAACAACATCATTGTTGATTTCAGAAAAGGCAGGCACAGCCACCCTTCTCTGTGCATTAATGATTCACCTGTGGAGATGGTTACCAGCATCAAATTCCTGGGTGTGCAGCTAACGAGTAGGCTGATTGGTTGCTCAACAGTGAAGCGAGCACAGCAGCACCTGCATTTTCTGCGCCGCATGAAAAAAGCACATCTTCCTTCCCTTGTCTGACCACTTTCTACAGGGGACAATCGAGAGCATCCTGTCATACAGCATCACAGTCTGGTTTGGAGGCATCACTGCTTCAGACAGGAAGGCGGTGCAGAGAGTGGTGAGGACAGCAGAAAAGATCATTGGCTGTTCCCTCCCTTCCATCCAGGACATAGCACAGAAGCGCTGCTTGAGCAGGGTCCGTAAGATTATCTGGGACACTACACATCCTCTTCACGACCTGTTTTCCTTGTTATCTTCTGGGAGGAGGGGGCTTCGTGGCATCCGAAGCAGAACATCCAGATTCAGCCAGAGTTTCGTTCCATACAGTATCCACCTTATGAACTCTGAAGCTTCCTCCTTCCGTTATGTATTCAAGATGGACAGTGATTAATAGTTGTATGTTACTTATAAGTAAGGGTGTAGGTCTATACATATGTTGTATATAGTATGCTTAAATGTGCGTTATGATGTGTACACTTTGAGAGCAAGCAACTAAATTTCATTTTTAAATGTGTGCCGTTGTGCCCACAATCTAAAAATGACAATAAAGGTTATCTTATCTTATCTTATCTTATCTTATCTTATTTCTACTGTACACTTTTCCCAAAAGGTTTCCACAATTTTGGCCACTATTATAGTTTGTGGTTTGAGTACCAAAGAATGTCAATCTACATTGAGCACATTCAACCGTGTTACTAACTGAACCACTGCAGTGTTTCACTTAACACATGTGACAAGAAAAGTCATAAAATGGGACAAAGATTCTCTTAACAACTGTCCCGCTTAGCAACAGGCATTTTGGACTCTGCTGTGGTTGTAAATCAAGGACTACCTGTACTTTTGCTTCTCGGTGAAAACTACCAAGGACTGTAGTAGTCCAGCAATAGATCGAATGGATCCAATACAGATGTTTTAAACCAGTGGTTCTCAATCTTTTCTTTACGGTGGGCCCCCTTGCAATAACCTTTTGTGGCCACGGACCCCCAAGACTTAAATGAGGATTTAAAGCTTAACATTTCTTCAAAGCCTTTGCAGCCCCCCCCCCGTGACACGCAGATGTCCCGCCCCCCCCCCAAGAGGTCCCTAGACCACAGGTTGAGAACCACTGTTTTAGCCTCCCTCCCTCACCTCTGAGGTCATCACTGCAATTTGTTCGGGGGTGATCACTCCACACAAGACATTCTTTCGGAGGTCGGGATTCTTGGAGTCCTTGAGGTTGGAGAGACGGCTCCTGATCCGATTTTTATACTTCAAGTCTGTGTTCTTCACATCTTGGAATATGAGTTCAGGTGCCGTTAAGGATCACCAACACGGAGAGGTTTGTGTTTACTGTAGCTCCAGCCAGAATCTTATCAACACATCAGGAATGTCTGTGGAGGCTAAAACATATAAGGAGCGGTTGCTGGAATTGGGTATGTCTAGTCCAGACATACACAGACATACACATACACAGACATACACAAGGCCCGGGGGCCGGATGCAGCCCGCGAAGTGGTTTCATGTGGCCCGCAAAGCCATCCTGGAAACAGTGAGGGAACGGCCCCCGCTGCCTTGGCCCTGGCCGGCCGGGAGCCAATGTACAATTTTGTGGTGGCCATCAAAGCTGAAACGCTTTCAGTCTTAGCTCCACAAGGCTGTCTGGAAACAGCGAGGAACCAACCCCTGCTGCATTGGCCCTGTCCCCTGGGTGCATGCTGGGAGGTGTCATCCTTTGTGAGGAATGAAGAAATGTACCATCGCCTGGAAGTGGTCAGCAAATGGCCCTCACCTACTTCACATATCCGGCTTGATGGGCTCCGGGGGAGGGGTTTCGGCAGGCAGTGAGGCTCCTCCAGTGGACCATGCCTTGGCGCTTGCCCCGGTCCCACCTCCTTCTGCCAGAGACCCTCAGATCTGTCCCACTCCTGCCCAGGCCCCCACAGGCACCCTTGACACGAACGATGTAGAGATGGCCACGCCCACCCAGTAGGCCACACCCACTCCATCTATGCCCACCCAGTAGGCCACACCCACCCGCCCCCTCCCCAACCACAATATTGATGTGGCCCTCAATGAAATTGAGTTTGACACCCCTGGTCTAGTCTAACGAAAAGAAGGACGAGGGGGGACATGATAGCAGTCTTCCAATCTCTCAGGGGCTGCCCCAAAGAAGAGGGAGTCAAGCTGTTCTCCAAAGCACTTGAAGGCAGGACAAGAAGCAATGGATGGAAACTCATCAAGGAGAGAAGCAACCTAGAACTAAGGAGAAACTTCCTGACAGTTAGAACAATTAACCAGGGGAACCACCTGCCTCCAGAAGCGGTGAATGCTGCAACACTGGAAGTTTTCAAGAAGAGACTGGACAACCATTTGTCTGAAATGATATAGAGTTTTCTGCCTGAGCAGAGGGTTGGACTAGATGACCTCCAAGGTCCCTTCCAACTTGATGATGATGATGATGAACCCACCCAAAGAGACGGTCCTCAAAACCTTCAGGACTGAGATGGACATTTTATCAAGTGTCACCATCAATGGAGAGAACATCTGCTGGAGTTTCCACATGCATGATACCTTTAGAAGCAGCAGGAAATAATAATAATAATAATAATAATAATAATAATAATAATAATAATAATAATAATAATGACATAATCCATATGTCTGAGAAACTGAACAAGACCAACAGAAGAGAATTATTTCTAGCGCAAGAGTAAACAGTGGAGTCCTTGGTGCTCTCCGAGCTCGAGTGTTTTCTTGCAGACGTTTCATGACCCAACTAGGTAACGTCATCAGTGCTAGAAGGGAGTGTTGGGTGGGGTGATGATGATGGTGGTGAGGAGGAGGGGGAGAGGGAGGAGGAGGAGGAGGAGGAAGGGGAGGAGGAGGAGGAATAGGACTGTGGAGTCTTTGGTGCTCTCCGAGCTTGAGTGTTTTCTTGCAGACGTTTCATGTCCCAACTAGGTAACGTCATCAGTGCTAGAAGGGAGTGTGGGGTGGGGTGATAATGGTGGTGATGAGGAGAAGGAGGAGGAGGGGGAGGAGGAGGAGGAGGAATAGGACTGTGGAGTCTTTGGTGCTCTCCGAGCTTGGGTGTTTTCTTTCAGACATTTCATGACCCAACTAGGTAACGTCATCAGTACTACAAGGAAGTGTGGGGTGGGGTGATGATGGTGGTGGTGAGGGGGAGGGGGAGAAGAGGAGGAGGAGGAGGGGGAGGAGGAGGAGGAATAGGACTGTGGAGTCTTTGGTGCTCTCTGAGCTTGGGTGTTTTCTTTCAAACATTTCATGACCCAACTAGGTAACGTCATCAGTGCTACAAGGAAGTGTGGGGTGGGGTGATGATGGTGGTGGTGAGGGGGAGGGGGAGAGGGAGGAGGAGGAGGAGGAGGCCGACTGTGGGGTCCTCCATGGTCTCTGAGCTTAGTTGACTTCTTGCAGAAATGTCATGATCCAACTAACATCAGCAGTGCTAGAAGGAAATGGGGTCTGCTCTCATTTTACGTTTGTTTGGTTGGCCTATGCAGGCAGAGTTGGCTCTCCTCTTCCCTTTGCTAGCACTGATGATGTCACCTAGCTTGGTAATGAAACGTCTGCAAGAAATCAACTAAGCTCAGAGACCACGGAGGACCTCGCCGATAAAAGGACCAATATAAAAACAGTTGAAAACTGAACGAGACTTAGGGTAAATAGAGACTAAAAACCAAGGAGACAGATGGCAAGGGTGGTGCCGTCTTTCTCCCCCCATCGACAGCCTCCAGCAAAAAGTACCCCCAGTTGAGGCCACCAGCCAGCAAGAGACAGGTTTTAAGGCTTTTTTTCCCCCAGAAAGCCAAAAGGATGGAGGAGGAATCTCACTTCTGGCGACAAGATGGAAACCAGAGCAGAAAAGAGTCTTTATGTAGACCCCGCCGGCCGAAATTCATCGGCTGACCGAGTCCGCAGCAAGTGGGATAGACTCTTCTCCTTTGTCCTGTGTGACCTGTTTATCTACTCTATAAAGCAATCCTTTTTGTCCTCTAGATGAGGGACAAAACACCCACATAATTGTGTTTCCTGAGTTTTAAGAGATTATTGTGTCAAAAGGAGCATAGCAGTAATATGGGCCAATCAGATAGGATACTACGGATAATACACTTAAGCTGAATTGATATAGTGCAAGAAATGGTCAATTTTTAAAAGATGCCATTAGGCAAGAAGTAAAGTGCTGGGGAGATATACTGTTGGCTAGTTTTTCTTCATTATACTTTCCTTCCCCCCAGAAATCTTAAAGAGGGAATGATCTAAAAGCAAATAGGCAACCGAGGCATGTGCTGCTCCAGAAGCCTCCAGAACGGTCCGCGCTGCTGCATTCTGTACTGTTGCAGCATCCAACTCTTCAAGGGTAGCCCCATATGCGGCACGTTACAGTAATCTAACCAAAAAATGATCAGGGCGTGTGAGGGATCTATCCTGAAGAATTCTCAGCCCTTTCAAAAATATCACGTCGCTCAGGGGCCCAGGAGAAAACTAGTATACTGCTTTAATAAAGAAAAACAAGAGTTGGAAGGGACCTTGGAGGTCATCTAGTCCAATCCCCTGCTCAAGGCGGGAAACCCTCTACCATTTCAGATAAATGGCTGTCCCATCTCTTCTTAAAGACTTCCAGTGTTGGAGCATTCACCATTTCTGGAGGCAGGTGGTTCCACTGGTTAATTGTTCTCACTGTCAGGAAGTTTCTCCTTAGTTCCAGGTTACTTCTCTCCTTGGTCAGTTTCCATCCATTGCTTCTTGTCCTGCCTTCAGGCGCTTTGGAGAAGAGCTTGACTCCCTCTTCTTTGGGGCAGCCCCTGAGATATTGGAAGACTGCTGTCATGTCATCCCTATTCCTTCTTTTCATGAAACCAGACATATACCCAATTCCAGCAACCGTCCTCCATATGTTTTGGCCTCCAGTCCCCTGATCATCTTTGTTGCTCTTCTCTGCCCTCTTTCCAGAGTCTCAACACCTTTTTTATATCATGGCAAGATATAAAGAGTCTGGGAAAAGGGCCTTAAAAATAATAATTCAGAGATTCCGTTGGAAATAATCTCTGATCAGAATCCTGTATTTTTTTTTTTTTAGGTGATACCCTCAGATGTTTGGGATTCAAGGGTCAAGGCCTTTCACACATCTAATGAGAGTAAGGGGACTGCAGGCCAAAACATCTGGGCAATATCAATCTCTCTTTGGTTTGGTTTCCTGACACCATAAACAACGAAAGGATATATTCTTCAATCTGGGCAGAAAGTTGCTCACAGTCAGCACCAATGGCCATATAGTCATCTGTAAGAAAAAGGAGCATAACAGGAATATTTAAGAGTAGATATTGCACGTAGTGCTCCACTTACGGCCACAATTGAGCCCCCAAATTTCTGTCGCTAAGTGAGATAGTTGTTAAGTGAGTTTTGCCCTATATTACGACCTTTCTTGACACAGTTGTTAAGTGAATCACTGCAGTTGTTAAGTAAATCTGGCTTCCCCATTGACCTTGCTTTGTCAGAAGCTTGCAAAGGTTGATCACACGGCAACCGTCATAAAGATGAGGCAGTGGCCAAGCGTCTGGGGGCGCTGTAAGTCGAGGGCTAGCTGTAATGCCTATTCAAGAAAGCCAAGCTGAGGTCGACAAAAGGGGATCACATGACACCATCATGTCATAAATAGGAGTCGGTTGCCAAGTGTTCCAATTTTGATCACGTGACCCTGGGGATGCTGCAACGGTCGTAAGTGTGAAAAATGGTCATAATTCACTGTTTTCAGTGCTGTTGTAACTTGGAACAGTCACTAAACAAACTATTGCAACTCGAGGACTACCTGTAAATCTACAAATGATGAAATTAGCTAGTTGGGTAATGAAACGTCTGCAACAAAACTATCAGGCTCAGAGAGCGCCAACGATCCCAGAGCTCCTTCTCCTTCTCCTCCTTCTCCTTCTCCTTCCGTTTCTCCTCCTCCTCATCCTCCTCCTCCTCCTCCTCCTTCTCTGCACTCTGCACTCCTTTCTAGCACTAATCATGTTATTTAGTTGGGTAATGAAATGTCTGCAAGAAAGCAGTCAAGCTCAGAGAGCAACAAGGATACCACAGTCCTTCTCCTTTTTCTCCTCCTCCTCCTCCTCCTCCTCCTCCTCCTTCTCCTTCTTTTTCTCCTCCTCCTCCTTCTCCTCTTCCTCCTCCTCCTCTTTCTCCTTCTCCTTCTCTTTCTCCTCCTTCTCTTCCTCCTCCTTCTCCTTCTCTTTCTCATCCTTCTCCTTCTTCTCCTTCTCCTCTTCCTCCTCCTCCTCCTCCTCCTTCTCCTCCTCCTCCTCCTCCTTCTTTTCCTCCTCCTCCTCCTCCTCCTCCTCCTTCTCCCCCCCCCTCCTCATCTGCCGCAAACCAAACTTCCTTCCAGCACTGAAGATGTTACCTAGTTGGGTCGTGAAACATCTGCAAGAAAACCACCAAGTTCAGAGAGCACCAAGGACCCCGTCGTTCAACCCTCAGCTACAAATATCCCCTTGTACAGGTAGCCCTCAACTTACAACCATTCATTAAGTCAAGAGGAGGAGAAAAAGTAGAAGGAAGAGGCAGAGGAGGAGGACAACTGTGGGGTCCTTGGTGCTCCCTGAACGTGGCTTCCTTGCAGACATTTCATGACCCAAGTAGATAACACCATCCATCTCCTTTTACCTAATTGGGTCATGAAACTTCTGCAAGGAAACAGCCAAACTCAAAGAGCACCAAGGAACCCACAATTCGACAGTGAACTAAAGCAGCATATTTATACATATCTCTGTACAAACGTTTAGGAGGCAAACGATTAACTAATTAGTTAAGAGGCACGGTGGCGCAGTGGTTAGACTTCCCACCAGGCTCAAGGTTGACTCAGCCTTCCATCCTTCCGAAGTCGGTAAAATGAGGATCCAGATTGTTGGGGGCAAGAGACTGACTCTTTAAACCACTCAGAGAGGGCTGTCTGACTGTCTGTCTGTCTATCTATCTATATCTATATCTGCCATGGTGGTGCAGTGGTTAGAAGGCAGCATTGCAGGCTAACTCTGCCCATTGCCAGCAGTTCAATCCTGACTGGCTCAAGGTTGACTCAGCCTTCCATCCTTCCGAGATCGGTAAAATGAGGACCCAGATAATTGGGGGGGAGAGCAATAGGCTGACTCTATAAACCACTTAGAGAATCTGCGAAGTGGTATATAAGTCTAAGTCAGTGGTTCTCAACCTTTTTAATGCCGCGACCCCCAACCGGTTGTAAGTTAAGGACTACTCAACCGGTCGTAAGTCAAGGACTACTCAACTGGTGCAGCACCGTTTGCAGACTGGGGCTTTTGGCGGGCTCAGCAGGGCAGAGACAGCCTGGACAATTCCTATTGGCTTTTGAAAGCCAATAGAATTAGACTCTATTCAAGAGAGTCTATTCTATGGCTTTCAAAAGCCAATAGAATAAAAGGGAGTAGCACAGCTAAGGAAAAGGGGGGGAAAAAATGGCGGACTGCGTTGTTTGGCGACCCCCGTGAAATGGTCGTTCGACCCCAAATGGGGTCCCGACCCACAGGTTGAGAACCACTGGTCTAAGTGCTATTGCTATTCGCCCTGAATCCAGCAAGGAACAAGAGAAACATAACAGGTGGCTGTATTTAACAGAGTTTTTAACTATTAGAAGGAAAAAATGGTCTGCAGAAGAGAAAATTAGGAGACAAGGGCCATGCTCATTTCTCCCATGACTTACTGTCCGTCTGGAGAGCAGAAGTTAACATTTCTCGGCATTTGCTCCGGACTGTGTCACACGTGATGGGCACGGGGGGGAAAGTTGTGATTTTGGGCGTGGTGGGACTTTTTATGGACTCCTGCCTTTTGATAGAGCTGAAAGAGAAAAACAAACCTGTCAGAATTTCGAGGTATCATTCTAAATTTCTAGACGTTTTGAAAGCCTCCCTCCTATTTGACCGGGAATATTACTTATTCTTTCCGAGTCTTTGTATAGATTTTATTAGTTTTTATGGGGTTAGGAATAAGGTCGGGTCAGAGTTGGGGTTGGGATTTAGGTTAGGGTTAGGATTAAGGTTAGGATTGGGGTTTTTCCAAATAACATTCTCAATATTTAGCAAACAGCATAATGTCTGGGTTCGTGTGTTTAACAAGCAATAATAGATAATAGTTAATTATCATAAACAATGTTAATTAATCACTCTATAGCCTTCTTCTTGCTAATATTCAAAATTATACATCACATTCCTTTCTCTCTAATTCGTCTTTCTAGCCATTGATAGAAATTATCCCATGTTTTAAAATACACTGAGTCTTCTTTCTCTTTTATCTTTAAAGTCAATCTATCCATTTCTGCACACTCTAGAATTTTCTTAATTAGGACTTCTTCAGTTAGGAAATTTTCATTTTTCCAATGTTGGGCAAATACAATTCTTACTGCCATTAGTCGATGTAGTATTAAGTGTCTGCAATCTTTGTCATAATTAGCTCCTATTATTCCTAATAAAATTAATTCTGGTTTAAAGTCTATTTGTTTTTTAGTCTTCCGAGCCTTTGGAAGATAAAAATTAATTTCCTTATCTTTCTTACCCTGTTCGCCAGATAAGTGGATTACTTCGACTTACCACGGTTCATTTAGTGACCGTTCAATAGTACAACAGCACTGAAAACAGGGACTTACAACCATTTTTTTCACTGCAGTGATTCACTTAACAACCGTGGCAAGAGAGGTGGTAAAACGGGGCAAAACTCACTCGACACGTGTCTCACTTCACAACAGAAATTTGAGGCTCAATTGTGGTCGTACGTCGAGGACTACCTATACATGATTATACTCACTAAAAGATATTAGGTGTATTTAAGAAAAGAGTTTTGGAAATGCAACTGACAAGACAGTGAAAGTATAATCAGGAGCACACTAAGGATTTAAATCAGGGGTCTTCAAACTTGGCCCTTTTATGACTTGTGGACTTCAATTCCCAGAATTCCTCAGCCAGGCACACGTGTGCCTGGCTAAGGAATTCTGGGAGTTGAAGTCCACAAGTCATCAAAGGGCCAAGCTTGAAGACCCCTGGTTTAGAAAATTAAGCACGGTGACGTCCATTTTTATTTTTTTTTAACAAATTGGCAAAAACAGAGGAACTAAAATTTTAAAGAGTTAAAAAAAAAAAAGCCTTTATAGCTACAATCCCTTCTCCTTCTTAGCTTGTAATAGTAATGCCTTTTTTTGCCGTTGTATGTGCTTGGCCCTGATTTGAAGCAGTCCCATTGTAAAATTTACTCAGCAGCTTCCTTATCATTAAAATTCTTGGCTTAAAGGCTGACTTTCACTCAGATTAGGAACATCCATTTTTTCCTGATTCAAAAAATCCAGCTAAGACAGCACCCTGTTCCCACTATGGTCAACGCTATAAAGTAGTCCTCAACTTACGACCACAATGGGGCCCAAAATTTCCACTGCTAAGGGAGACGTTAAGTGAGTTTTGCCCCATTTTGCAACCTTTTTTGATGCAGTTCTTAAGTGAATCACTGCAGTTCTTAATCTAGTAACAAGGTTGTTAAGTGAATCTGGCTTTCCCCATTGGCTTTCCTTGTCGGAAGGTCGTAAAAGGGGATCACATGAGCCCGGGACACTGCAACTGTCATAAATATTAGTCAGTTGTCAAGCCTCTGAATGTGAGGGGAACATCTGGGGCAGGGGTAAGCAACCTTGGCTCTTTTATGACTGGTGGACTTCAACTCCCAGAATTCCTGAGCCAGCCATGCTGAGGGGAAAGGGAGAGGTTCCAAGCTGAGCCAGGCTGGCTCAGGAATTCTGGGAGTTGGAGTCCACACACCTTAAAGTTGTTGAGATGGAGAAATAATGGACTAGACCAGGGGTAGGCAACCTTGGCTCTTTTGTGACTCATGGACTTCACTCCCAGAATTCCTGAGCCAGCCTGGCTCAGCTTGGAAACCTCTCCCTTTCCCCTCAGCGTGGCTGGCTCAGGAATTCTGGGAGTTGAAGTCCACAAGTCATAAAAGAGCCAAGGTTGCTTACCCCTGCCCATGGGGATGCTGCAATGGTCATAACTGTGAAAAACGCTCCTGTCACTTTTTTCAGTGTAGTTGTAACTTCAAATAGTCACTAAATGAATGTGTTTTAAGTCAAGGATTACCTTTATTTCTGGGAAACCTTTAAACAGGACAAGAAGGCTATTGTTCCTGTAAAGGTGGCCTTAGCCTGGAAACCAAGCAAACCAACAGATCCTCTCCATAAAACATTTCTTTAATCCTACGTTAAGCTTTTTTGCCCAGGAGCCATTTTTATGACAAGACATTCCTCAGGTAACACTCCGCGTAAAGAGCTGGTTTTCTTTATCTGGCCTGAGCAATCTTAGACCTAAACTTTAATTCGCAAAGATGTTTTAGAAGGACCATGAAAATAATAAGCCAAATTGTGAATCACGCACTGGGGGAATGCAACACAATTCTTCAGACTGACTCTACGCAACGTCATTGGATCAATGATTAACCCAATATATGGACTGTATGTGCAGACTGCTTTCTTCTGAAAAATATTATGAAAAACAAGGAGGGAGGGAAGAATAGCCAATGATACAATGGCATTAGGGCCCAGTTTCTTTTTTTACGAAACTAAAACGATCCATCAAAGATAATAAAGGGAACGTTTGGACTCTGGTAAACTTCACAATGTGTTTGTGAGCACGAGATCACAACTCCTGTTCATTTCAAATTGTCAAATTATTCAGAAAAGAGATCATAAGGCATGTTGTTTAATAGAATAGTTTAATAAGGCATGTAGTTTAATAGAATAAACTTTCTATAACAGGGGTCTTCAAACTTGGCAACTTTTTAAGACTTGTGGACCAACTCCCAGAATTCCTCAGCCAGCTACGGCTGGCTGAGGAATTCTGGGAGTTGAAGTCCACAAGTCTTAAAGTTGCCAAGTTTGATGACCCGTGTTCTATAACATTGACGTTGGTTGTTCTCGATTTATGACCACAACTGAAACCAGAATTTGCATTGCTAAGCTAGGCAGTTGTTCATACATCCCATTTTCCAGCGTGTTTTGCCATGATGTTAAGCGAATCCCTGAGGTCATTATATGAATCATGTGGTCGTTAAAAGAATCCAGATTCCTCCAATGATTTTGCGTGTCAAAAGCCAGCTGGGAAACTCACCAGTGGTGACCACAGGACCCGGGGACACTGCAACTGTTGTACAGACATGCCAGTTGCCAAGTGCCCCAATTTTGATCATGTGACTGTGGTCATACTGTGACAGTCGTAAGGGCGAAGATCAGTTAGAGGTCGCTTTTTAGTGCCATTGTAACTTTAAACAGTCGCTAAATGAATAGTTGTAAGTTCGAGACTGCCTGTATATCCAAGATTTCACTTCTATCCAGATTGAAAGGGGTCCTTCCAATTACTCTGTGAAGTAGGTCAATTTTATGGGCTTCAGATGCTGGGATGTGCAAGCTTCTTATCTTATGATAAGATAGCAGTTTAGCTTTCCTAAGTAAGGAATCCCCCCCCCCCAAAACAGAACCTGGGCAGTAGATACCTGAAAAGGCAAGTAGGGTGCATAAAACGTATTAACCAACCTGGTGCAGCACCAACCTTGTTGAATTTAATTCACGGCAATGCATATAATGTAATACACCGCTAATACCAATTAGTCTGAGCCTCGGGAGCACTAAATCCTTAACAGACCTCATTTAAGTGGCTTATCTACTTAACCACTTCTGGCTCAAGAGGATATATATAAGTCAGTCTGAACTGTCTTCGACTCAGCAGTACTAACTGTTAATCTCCGGAAGGATCTCTGAGTAACTTCAACACCTGCTGTGCAAAGGCTCTGTTCAGCCTTTAGCCCTGCACATGCTTAAAACTGAGGAAAACGTGTTTATGCTGATAACGAACGGGTCACTTGGAAAGTTAAATCACAACCCTTGTGGGACTTTCCTAGAGTCTAAGGATCTTCAAACCTGGCAACTTTAAGACTTGTGGACTTTAACTCCCAGAATTCCTCAGCCAGCCCTCAGGGCTGGCTGAGGAATTCTGGGAGTTGAAGTCCACAAGTCTTAAAGTTGCCAAGTTTAAAGACCCCTGGCCTAGTCAATCGGACTACAACTCCAGTCACGCCTCAGGCAGGAGGCCCAAAAGCTAAAGCTGGCTAAGAATGATGACAGTCTTAATCTAACACAGATAGTCCTCAACTATCAGTTCATTTGGTGACCAAAGTTACAACAGCACTGAAAAAAAGTGACTTACGACTGGTTTTTTTACATTCCTGATGAGGTTACCTAGTTGGGTAATGAAACGTCTGCCCCTCCCACAAAACCATACCCGCTCCCCCCCCCCCAGTCTCCCTCTGGGCCGTCAACACGGAAAGGTTGAAGAACTCTGCCTGAACCAGCTTGCCCAGACTGAAGATGCTACTTTGGATAAGCAGCAAAATGTTTGGAATCAAACAGAAAAGAAATTCCAGTTGCCAGGACTCAACTCCCAGACACCGTGATGTGATGTTAAGCCATTCCCCCGAGCTTTGTCGTACATTGGTTTGCTTCCGTGAGTGTATCGACTCTTCTCACATTCAGCAATCAAACCAATTCCATATTCACATGAATTACGGTCTGTTTGCTTTATCATACCCTTTCTCTAAAGCCACAGATGTATAACAACCATCTGTCTGTGGAGATTTGTTAGTCCCAAAGGTGCTTTTTTTTTCAAGAGGCAACCGGACTTTTTTGGTTTTTCCTTGAAGACGTTTCGCTTCTCATCCGAGAAGCTTCTTCAGTTCTGACTGAATGGTGGAGGATGGAAGGATTTATATCCCTTGCAGTCATCTGGTCCTTAGCAGTGTTACTGAGACCACTTGGAGGCTTATGGTCTGTGGGTGCTCCGTCAGTGGAAGTTTTTAAGAAGAGATTGGACAGCCATTTGTCTGAAATGGTATAGGGTTTCCTGCCTGAGCAGGGGGTTGGACTAGATGACCTCCAAGGTCCCTTCCAACTCTGTTATTCCGTTACTTGTACTCTGATTCAGGGGGTCCTGACGATACAGGTAAACTTCCAAGTGGCCTCAACGAGTCTCAGAAAGAGCACTAACGACCAGATAATTGTAAAGAATATAAATCCTTCCATTCCTCGCTATTCAGTCAGAGCTGAAGAAGCTTCTTGGATGAAAAGCGAAATGTCTTCAAGGAAGAACAAAGGAAGTCCAGTTGCCTCTTGAAAAAGCACCTTTGGGACAATAAAAATCATTCATAACATCCGAACGTTACAATCGGTCGTGCTTCACTGAGTTACTGAGTATTTGCTCTAGTCACAGGGCTAGGCAACCTTGGCTCTTTTATGACTTGTTGGACTTCAACTCCCAGAATTCCTGAGCCAGCCTGGCTCAGCTTGGAAAGCTCTCCCTTTCCCCTCAGCATGGCTGGCTCAGGAATTCTGGGAGTTGGAATCCACACATCTTAAAGTTGCTGAGGTGGAGAAACAATGGACTAGGCCAGGGGTGGGGAACCTTGGCTCTTTTATGACTCGTGGACTTCAACTCCCAGAATTCCTGAGTCAGCCTGGCTCAGCTTGGAAACCTCTCCCTTTCCCCTCAGCATGGCTGGCTCAGGAATTCTGGGAGTTGAAGTCCACGAGTCATAAAAGAGCCAAATTTGAAGACCCCTGGTTTAAATATTTAATATTTAAATATTCTATTTTATTGTAAGGCTACATCAGGGGGAGGCAACCTTGGCTCTTTTATGACTCGTGGACTTCAATTCCCAGAATTCCTGAGCCAGCCTGGCTCAGCTTGGAAACCTCCCCCTTTCCCCTCAGCATGGCTGGCTCAGGAATTCTGGGAGTTGAAGTCCACAAGTCATAAAAGAGCCAAGGCGGCCTAGCCCTGCATCTAGTGGGATGTGACTCAAGGCTAAATCGAACTGATTATACACACAAGGAATCTGTCTCCGGTACCGAAGCTCTCAGTGTGCAGGTAGTCCTCGACTTACAACAGTTTGTTTAGTCACAGTTCACAGTTACAACAGCGCTGAAAAAAGTGAGTTACGACCATTTTTCAGAGTTATGACGTTTCCAGCATCCTTATGATCTTTTGATCAAAATTCAGATACTTGGCAACTGCTTCATACTTACGACAGTTGCTGAGTCCCAAGGTCATATGGTCCCCTTTTGCGACCTTCTGCAAAGCAAAGCCAGTGGGGGAAGCCAGATTCACTTAACAACCGTGTTACTAACTTATCAACTGCAGTGATTCACTTAACAACCGAGGCAAGAAAGGCTGTAAAATGGGTCAAAATTCACTTAACAACAGAAGATTTGGTCTCAATTGTGGCCGTAAGTCAAAGACTACCTGTACATGCAAAGCAACAGAAAAATGATAATCATAATTTGACACAACTTGAAATTGACTAATCTTAGTCTGAAACAATCTTGTCCACGGAAATTCACAATTAGCCCATTGTCTCATAAAATAATCATACCAATAAGAGGGAGGAGGAAGAAAGATAATAATAATAAGCATAAATATTACTGCAGCCATATTACATGGGAAATACACATGGACATTAGGCAGCACCCTGGGAATTATGTGTTCAGCGGAGTAATGGCCGAACCAACTGGCCAATCACTTCTTAGGTGTTCAGATTATGTAGAATCATTTTTAACATTAAATATCTATGTGTTTCTATCCAGAAAATGCTTCAATCAACATCATGGGAAATTAATAGGACTACTCCGAGCCCTTTGATTGGGAATTGCAAGCCCCTAATTTGAGGTGTTGATTGACACACGCAGAATCGTGGGCGAATCCTACGAAGGAATGTGGAATAAATGTACATTGGTACACTTGGAGGCGAGGAATTGCAAGATTTAGGACAGGTGGCGTTGACAGTAATTTTTTAATCACTGGCCAAAGGATCCTTATCCCTTTGTGTGGCATTGTGAGACTACTTAGTTGAAAGAAATTTATGTACATAAACAGAAAACTGGGTTAATAAAGAAAGAAATAAAAGTACAAATGAAATAAAGCAACAAAAGGAGAAATGGTCTTTATTAATAAAAGGAACAGCGTGAGAAAGAAAGAAGAAAGTTAATCAAATCATAAACAAGAATAAAAAGAAATGCACCAAGTCCACTGTGTTTTGCAGGTGTTTATTTTTTTTTCCATTTGTAACTGTAAGATTCAGAATAGGACATTATAACCTATTTGTCAAAATGGAGCCACCATCGCTTCTCGGGAACCTTTGTCAATAGAGAAGTAACATTTCCCCATTTGAAAAGCTAAGTAGGGAAGCCATATTAATATTAATAATAATAGACATCTGGCTAGAAACTGGGAGGATGTGAGTTCTAGTCCCGCCTTAGGCATGGAAGTCAACTGGGTGACTTTTTGGACAATAACAAGGAAACTGTGAGTTTCTAGTCCTGCCTTAGGCATGAAAGCTGTTGGGTGACTTTGGGCCAATTACCAGGAGATTGGGAGTTCTAGTCCTGCCCTAGGCATGATAACTGGCTGGGTGACTTTGGGCCAATCACTAGGAGATTAGGAGTTCTAGTTCTGCTTTAGGCATGGAAGCTGCTGGGTGACTTTGGGCCAATCACCAGGAGATTAGGAGTTCTAGTTCTGCTTTAGGCATGGAAGCTGCTGGGTGACTTTGGGCCAATCACCAGGAGACTGTGAATTCTAGTCCCACCTTAGGCATGAAAGCCAGCTGGGTAACCTTGGGCCAGTCTCTCTCTCAGCCCGGCCTACTTCACAGGATTGTTATTGTGGGGGGGGGGGAATAGCAGGAAGAAAGAGTATTGGCTATGCCTTGAACTGTTTATAAAACAAATCATAAAGGTGGGAGATGAATTAAATGAACATTTGAAACAAAACTTGGATGGGTTAATTGGGCAACGGGCACAATACCACTATCTCTGGCTAAGAATTACCTTTGGTCTCGCGAATCACCCGTCTGTTTTGAAGAAGACTCTGGCAGCGAATTCTTCTTTTTTGCATCTCTCTTATCTTCGGAGGCATCTGGACAAAGTTAAAGAGGAAGAAGGACAAGCAGTAAAGAATGAACGTCGCCCTAAGGAAGCCTTGTGCCACTAGTCAGCTGCTAGGACGGCCCGTTCCTTGGTCATAAGGTCTTCTTTCAAAGCAGTAGATAACAGCATCATCCACGTTTCTCTGTCTGTTTAACACCTGAGGGGGCTTGGAAGAATATCTGTCATGATGTGGACAATGACGGAGAGGGGATGCTATTTTGGGGGGGGGGGGCAATTAAACGACCGAACAACAAACCAGCTTTCGCCAGGAAAAAGGATCCACTTCTAAACTACATCTTTTTCCTGGAAATTTTTGTTACCGTATATTCCGGCGTATAGGGCGACCCGGCGTGTAAGACGACCCCCGAGTTTGACGCCGGGTCGCAAGACGATCGACGCCGAGTTGCAAGACGATCGACGCTGAATCGCATGCCTAGAAAGTCATCTTATACGCCGGAAACTACCGGTATTTCCGGCGTATAAGATGATCGACGCCGAGTCGCATGCCTAGAAAGTCATCTTATACGCCGGAAACTACGTTATTTCCGGCGTATAAGATGATCGACGCCAAGTCGCATGCCTAGAAAGTCGTTTTATACACCAGAAACTACCTTATTTCCGGCGTATAAGATGACTCAGCGTATAAGACAACCCCCGAGTTCGGAGGCTGTTTCGACGCTCTCAAAAGTCGTCTTATACACCGGAATATACGGTACTTCTCCGAAGAGATACAGCAGGGGGGACGTTCAAGGTTAAGGCTGTGTCTCTCCGTAACTGGAGACTCTTTTTAGTTTGTCCTCTGTTTGGACCTGAAGCGCGTTCCTGTTTGATTGCTTTGACTTTTGGAAGGTGCACAATTGATATTGGTTTCTTTTTACGACCTACAGCAGTGATGGCGAACCTTTTAGAGACCGAGTGCCCAAAAACTGCCCCCCCGTCCCCACTCCGCCCTGCCCAATGGACCACCCACCACCTCCACGGCCCGCCACAGATCACCAGGTAGCCCAGCAGCATCATGGCAGCCATGCCCTCCGTCCATGCCCCGCAGCATCATCTGCGCGCGACGGGGCGCAAGGGTGGAGTCTTGTCCCCGCTGCCCGGCTACCATGTCCTTGGTTGCGCTGCTTTGTGTGGGCCGTGCCCAGGGGCGACTCTCCTCTGAGGGGGGCTGCTGGTGAGGAGGGGGCCGTGGGAGGAGGCAGGGCTGGGGAGACGGTGTGTGTGCCCAAAGAGAGGGCTCCGAGTGCCACCTCTGGCACCTATGCCACAGGTTCGCCACCACTGACAACAAAAATTGAACTAAATTTAATTTGGAAGTAAATATCGTTACAATTTGAGGGTAGATTATCAGAATCCCAGTATTCATGGACTTAGTATGAAGTACAGGTAGTCCTCAATTTGCAACAGGTCATTTAGTGACAGTTCAAAGTTACAACAGCCCTAAAAAAAGTGACTTATGACCGTTTTTCACATCGACCACCACTGTAGCATCCCCATGGTCAGTGGCAACCGACTCATATTTACGACGCTCGCAGTGTCCTGGGGTCATGGGATCCCCTTTTGCGACCTTCTGACAAGCAAAGTCAATGGGGAAGCCAGATTCACTTAACAACCGAGTTGTTAAGTGAATCTGATTCCGTTAAGAAAGGTTGCAGTGATTCAGTTAAGAAAGGTCGTAAAAATGGGGCAAAAATCACTTAACGAATTTCTCACTTAGCTACAATCCATTTTGGGCTCAATTGTGGTCGTTAAGTCGAGGACTAGCTGTAGTGGAATTAGGAATTCATGAACAATACTACCATAGTGCTGTAAGGTTAGTTAGGACTGGGGAATTCTGAGAGTTTACAGCAGTGTTTCCCAACCTGGCAATTTTCAAATGTGTGGACTTCAACTCCCAGAATTCCCTAGCCGGTCTTGCCCTAATTGTTTGCTGGTGGGGGGGGGATTCTGGGAGTTGAAGTCCACATATCTGAAAGTTGCCAAGGCTGAGAAAAACTGGTTTAACGGTTAGGAAGGACCGGCCCCGATGGCTCTAGCACAGTGCTTCTCAACCTTGACAATTTTAAGGCATGTGGACTTCAACTCCCAGAATTCCACAGTCAGCAATGCTGGCTGTGGAATTCTGGGAGTTGAAGTCCACATGCCTTAAAATTGTCAAGGTTGAGAAACACTGTGTCTAGCAGTTAAAAGTGGGCAGACAGGAAATCTGTACCTTCAGACTTGCAAACTTCTGTTAACGTAGCCTTACAATAAAAGCAGATTTAGTTCATCTGGTCAAGTTTCCTCACCGGTTGAACCAAGAAGGCTAACCAGGTTTATGTACATGCAAACAGAAATTAAACTACTTTATTTGGCCAATTTGTTGGAAATGTAAACATAACATAGGCACGTATTATCATATTTGGTGGACATGTGGGAAGGCAAAGGCTTATTGGAAAAATATACATATGTAGTTAGAAAAAATACTGGGCGAACAAGTGGATTTTAAACCTGAACTTTTTCTACTAGGCGTTATGCCTGAAAAGACTAATAAGCAGAAATTATATTTAATGTTACACATTACCACAGCAGCGAGAATAATTTTTGCACAATACTGGAGGAATGAAGGATTGCCATCAGAAGAAATAATCAGGAAAATACTGGAATGTGCAGAGATGGACAGATTAACTATGAGGTTGAAAGACACAAACTACTATCAAATTTGGAATTTATTTTACTCTTGGTTAGAGAAAAGAATGAAGGATTAGGAATTGAACATGTATTAGCTTAGCAAACTCCAGACAACTTAGTTGATTGGAAAAATTAACATATGTTGATGGGGAAAAAAAATAATAAAAAATAAATGAAAAAAAAAAAGAAATTAAACTACTTTATTTGGCCAAGTGTGAATTGGACACACGAGGAATTTGTCTTTCATACAGAAGCTCTCAGGGTCCACGCGAAGCAATAGAACAGTATTTCTCAACCTTGACAATTTTAAGGCATGTGGACTTCAACTCCCAGAATTCCACAGCCAGCAATTCTGGGAGTTGAAGTCCACATGCCTTAAAATTGTCAAAGTTGAGAAACACTGCAATAGAATAATCATCATGGTCATAATAATACCAATAAGAGGGAGGAATAAAGAAGATTGTAAGAAGGGTAAATGATTATGACGGGATTCCTGCCTTCACATTTTGCGTGAGCACGACGTAGCTTAAAACCCAAAGAAGCTGGATCTTGATTTATTCCACAAGGTGTTTTTTTTATTATTATTATTATTTGATTCGCCCATAGTATTGGCTGCTTCTTACCTAGGAGTTTCTTCCAAGCTTTGATAAGCGATTTGGAGAGTGCAATCACTTCCTCATCTGTGCTTTGTTTGCGAAGGGCATTCACCGACATCCCGATTCGGGTAGACTGCAAAATATCAAACAGGGACGGGTTCTCGTTTAAGCAAATCGCTTAAATCAAATTCACTAGCTAGACTAAATTGCCCCAGGCAGGAGAAGAGGTCAAGTTACTTGTCATTATTACCCAAAGGTCAAGTTACTTGTCATTATTTGACAATTTGCACTGATTCCATAATACAGCAACTTTATAATTGCCCAGGTGGTCCTCGACTTACAGCCAGCTGTTCAATTAATGACCGTTCAAAAGTTACAACGGTGCTGAACAAAAAAAGTGACTGATGATTACTTTTCACACTTATAACCGTTCCAGCATCCCCAGGGTCATGTGATCAAATTTGGGGGTGCCTGGCAACCGGCATTTATTTATTATAGTGTCATTTGCAATCTTCTTTAGGAAGCTTCTGATAAACAAAGTCAAGGAGGGGGGGGGAGCCAAATTCGCTTAATGACCACATGATTCACTTAACAGTTGCGGTGATTCACTTAACAATCATGGCAAAAAAAAGGTCAGAAAATGGGGCATCACTCACTTAACAACTGTCTTGCTTAGCAGTGGAAATTTCGGCCTCGTCTGTGGTTGTGAGTCGAAAACTACCTGCATAGTTCTATAAACCTTATCTCCGTCCCATTTTCCCCCCTGCTCCATACAGAAACATTTTTTTTAATTTTTTATTTTTCCAAACTCTCCCCCATACATATACCGTGATATTTATCAGATGTTAACATACATTCTTTTTACGTTCATATATAAGATGCTTTTAATAAAATGAAATAAATACATACCCATGACTTTTGGTGTTGCTCGCCCATTTCCCCTTCCACTGTATTCACACTCCTTCTTCTCTACCTTCTTTCTCCCTTTCTTCTCTTCCCTACTTCCCTCTTCTTCCTCTCCTCTTCTCTTTCCTTCACCGCTCTCCTCCCCTTTCTCCCCACTTCTCCTCTTCTCCTCCAACCTTCCTTCTCCCCTCCTTTACTCTTTTCTCTCTCCTCTCCTTTCTTCCCTCTCATCCTTCTTCAGATACAATTCAGGGGTAATGTCCGAGCAACTCCTCTCTCCAAATTTCCCTGTCTGTATTATATACAATAAGATTAATTTTCTCTTACATTAATACTTCTATTTATCTAACCTCCTCGGTATATACTTCTATAAATATTTATACAACCTCCAGTTATTCAATACTGTGTCACCTGGGTCTCCCTCTTTATCATATACAGAAACATTTTGTTTTCCATGCTGCTGGACACTTAATCGCAACCTGAAATGGATTTTGAAGACCACAGATCTTATATAGTGGAACAAATTAATTAGAAGCATGTATCACAAACTAGGAGAAGGGTAGAAACAGTCAGACAATGCAGGACTTGAATGTACTCATGATCAAGTAAATGTTTTTTTTTTTTCCAAAGTAGTCAAGTCAAACTGAGAATAAGTTAAAAAGAAAAAAAAAGAGTCAGCACCGTGATTTACCTGCAGCAAATGAAGTGTTATCGGCATACTTTTCAGTTCCTTCAGCAAGTCCATTGCCCCTTCCTCGAAAACAAAAGAAATTCCACAAGTTATGAGACATCCAACTTCCAATTGTTTAAATTGTTTTGATGAGGTGATGTATTCCCAAGTCTAAGCAGAAATAGAGGGGCCGTTACCAATCAGACGGGGGTGTACACTATAGGAATGGGAAAAGCTAGTTCAATCAAAATATACAGTATATCTACTGAAATCATATATATGAAACAAAAGAAAAATCAAAATGGGATTGCCTAACACTAAACCTTTCAAATTAGGCAAGATTGTAGGTTTCCGAGGACTTTTAATCGGTGGGATCCTTAACACGCTCTGAGCTGGGTTGTTTTCTTGCAGACGTTTCATGACCCAACTTGGTAACATCATCAGTGCTAGAAGGGAATGGAGTTGGTGGTTTCTTCGAAACAGTTCAGAAATAGCCCTTGACTTACAACCATTTGTTTAACGACCACTGGAAGTTACAACAGCAGGGGGAAAAGTGATTTATGGCGTGTCCTCACCCTTGCAACAGTCACACTATGTCCAAAGTCAAGTGATCAAAATTCAGCGGCTTGGCAACCAGCATGCATTTATCACAGCTGCAGTATCCCAGGTCACATGTGACCTTCCCAGCTGGCTTCCAACAAGCAAAATCAAGAGCGGGACTCCGCCTTGCTTAGTGACTGTGGGATGAGCCAAGGTGGCGCAGCAGTTCGAGTGCAGTACTGCAGGCCACTTTAGCTGACTGTGTTTAGCAAGTCAGCGGTTCAAATCTCACCGGCTCAAGGTTGACTCAGCCTTCCATCCTTCCGGGGTAGGTCAAATGAGGACCCAGATTGTTGGGGGCAATGTAAAATATATATATATATAATATATATATATATATATATATATATATATATATATATATACACATTGCTTACTGGTGTACACCGCTTAGAGAGTGCTTGCACTTAAAGCGGTATATAAGTCTCGTAAATAAATAAATAAATAAATAATAAATAAATAAATAAATTCACGTAATAATTGCCGTGGATTTTGCAAGGATTTATACTCCTTGCCGGGAGAAACATCAACAAGCTAAGATATGCAGATGATACCACTCTAATGGCAGAAAGTGAAGAGGAACTAAAGAGCCTCTTGATGCAGGTGAAGAAGGAGAGTGCAAAAGTTGGCTTGAATCTCAACATTAAGAAAACCAAGATCATGGCATCCGGCCCTCTCAATTCCCGGCAAACAGATGGGAAAGAAATGGAGGTAGTGACAGATTTTATCTTCCTGGGCTCCAAGACCACAGCAGATGGGGACTGCAGCCAAGAAATTAAAAGACGCTTGCTCCTGGGGAGGAAAGCTATGGCAAATCTAGACAGCATACGAAAAAGCAGAGACATCACCCTGCCAACAAAAGTGCGTATAGTCCAGGCCATGGTTTTCCCAGTTGCAATGTATGGCTGTGAAAGTTGGACCATAAGAAAGGCTGAGTGCCTAGGAATTGAGGCCTTTGAACTCTGGTGCTAGAGAAGACTCCTGCGAGTCCCCTGGACTGCAAGGCGATCCAACCGGTCAGTCCTAGAGGAGATCAACCCCGACTGCTCTTTAGAAGACCAGATCCTGAAGTTGAAACTCAAGTACTTTGGCCACCTAATGAGAAGGACTCACTGGAGAAGAGCCTAATGCTGGGAAAGATGGAGGGCAATAGAAGAATGGGACGACAGAGAATGAGATGGCTGGATGGAGTCACTGAAGCAGCAGGCAACAGCTTCAATGGACTCCAGAAAATGGTAGAGGACAGGAAGGCCTGGAGGAACGTTGTCCATGGGGTCGCGATGGGTTGGACGCAACTTCGCAACTAACAACAACATACTCCTTGCAGACAGCTGGTCATTTGCCTTCTTTTAGAGAGTGAGACTACTTGGAGGTTTACCTGGGTCCTCAGGGTCACCTGAGGGGTGCAAATGGGTGTGGAGCCTTCTTGGCTACAGGATGTTTTCTGCCCTGGGCCCTGCAGAGAAGACAGCTCCATACACATTTGCACTACTTCCAGCTGTCTGCAAGGAGTATAAATCCTTCTGTTCCTCCACCCTCCAGTCAGAGCTGAAGAAGCTTCTTGGAATGAGAAGCGAAACATCTTCAAAGAAAAACAAGAAAGTCCAGTTGCTTCCTGAAAAAACACTTTTGGGATAAGCAACATCACACCTTAATAAAATCATGGAGAGCACTGATGCAACCTTGGTTGAGTTCAAGAGCCTGAGCAGTTGGATCAAGTTAGTCCTTGGGGGAGTGAAAAGCATTCAGGAACTTGGGGGGGGGTGTCTCCAAATCTGCAAAACGCTGGGCGTGACGTCATGATCCCCACCCTTTGCGGTGCGCCTGTGACACCATCCCCAAGCCGCTTTGACTTCAGACCACCCTCTTTGTCCCAGATTGACCTCCCCTGTCCAAAAGAAAGAACACAGGCAGTCCTCGACCTACAACCGAGCCCAACATTTCTGTCGCTAAGCAAGACATTTTGATGGATGAGTTTTGTCCCATTTTACCAGCTTTCTTGCCACAGCTGTGAAATGAATCCCTACAGTTGTTAAGTTAGTAACACGATGGTTAAATGAATCTGGCTCCTCCATTGATTTTGCTTGTCCAAAGGTCGCAAAAGGGATCACATGATCCCAGGACACTACAACTGTCAATAAATACGAGTCAAGTTGCCAAACATCTGGATTTTGATCACGTGACCAGGGGGAATGCCGCAACGGTTGTGGGAAAAAGGGTTATAAAGTCACTTTTTTCGGTGCTGTTGTAACTTCAAACAGTCACTAAATGAACTGTCGTAAGTCGAGGACTACCTGTACAGAATAACAGAGCTGAGACCTTGGAGGTCCTCTAGTCCAACTCCTTGCTCAAGCAGGAGACCCTGTACCATTTCAGACAAGTGACTGTCCAGTCTCTTCTTAAAAGCCTGATTTGGTCAGAAGACCACCAGGAGATTTCAGGGCTGGGAACCAGAAACCCACCCTAGAAGGAAGCAGCAACAATCCAGTTCCATGCCACTGGGAAGAAAACTACATGGATGTCATTAGCAATTTGAGGAAGCCTTTCTCTTTGCTTACAGTAGGTGGCAACCCCATGTCAAGTTTGGATTGGCTCAAAACAATGAAGCTACCTGGATGGAAGACCACCAGGAAATCCCAGCCAAACAGGTCAAAAAAAATCTCCCAGGGAAAAAGCAGTTTTTTTAAGGACAAGCAGCATCCCCCGGAATCGAGATCAACCCAAAGGAATCTGGAAGCACGCAAAGAAACGAGCAGGCAGGATCCCAGCACAGGGATCCTTTTTTTCCTAGAGCGCCCCACGGATTCAGCCCAAGAAAACCGCGGGAGGGCGCGAGAAGTTAAAAAACGGACAGAAGCGGACGGCGAAGGGGGCCAGCCAAGGCTGCAGCGATCGGGGAGAGGGGGGGCGTGGCTCAAAAGGGGCGGGCGAAGCGCTAGAGAAGTGGGCGGGGCCACGAGCGGTTCACGGCAAGAGCGAGGGCGTGGCTAACGGCTGAAGCATTTAAATGGCGGCGGGGGGCGGGGCCAAACGGCTGTCTTGGGCGGGGCCCGTTCTCCAGGCGATGCGGCGCGGGCGTTGCCATGGCAGCGACGAGGACGGACTGGGTTTTCTTTTGAGAAACTGGAAACGCCGAGCAACGTTTCGGAGGCGGCGTCGGCGGCGGTGGTGGAGGGAGGGCCTCCGGACGGGCTCCTCCGCGGGCCGGGAAGGCGCGGGCGGCGTCGGTGCCCCCCACTCACCACGCTCTTCTTGGCGACCATCTTGTCGAGCCGCTTGGCGATGCGCAGGACCTCCTCCTCCTCCCCGCCCATGGCGCCGGCTCTCCGCTCCGCGCAGGGTCTGCGGCCCCGGGGAGGAGGGAGGCGAGGAAGCCCGTCCCCGGGACGCTGCCGGCTGAGCCGCGGCGAAGAGCGGGCGCGCTTCCTAGGTGACCAGGGCAACGCCTCTTCCGTTTTGGACGCCCGCCCAAGGCATGCTGGGAAGCGAAGTTCGGCCTCTCCCCTCTCCCAGAGGGCCGCGCGCGCCACACCTGGGCGTTCGCTTCGCAAAGCATTTCGGGAACGGTAGTCCCGGAAAGGAAGCGGTTTAGGCTTAGCTATTGAGGAACGGACTCCAAATCCCAGCAATCTCGGCTGCTTCTGCGGGGGGGGGGTGGTTTTCGCCAGGTCTTTCCTTTGCGAGCCCGCCCACCCCCCCCCCCGCGGAATTTTGCAGGACGGACTGTTATCTTGTAGAAAACGAAAGAGACTTTTACGAATTCCAGAGGGTTTAGCAGAGAGATTTATTTGCGCAAGGTTCAGAAGCAGTGAAGACAAACAATTCTGAACGCTGAGGGAGGGTTCAAACTACAGTTTTATACATTTCTTTTCTCAGGAACAAAGGGGCACAAATAGAAATCTATATTGTATTACTTTAGGTTAGTTTCTCACAGGCATACAATGGACAGTTATGCTACATACATTGTTTCCAAGTGCAATGTGCATTTGGTTAGTCACAGATTGCTAACACAGCTTTATTCCAGTAATAATGCAGACACATCATTGTTTTAATGATTTTTCATTATTATTATTATTATTCCACATTATTCTATATTATCCTACTTTAGTTAGAGCTTGGCCTTGCAAAGAGTCTGTGGGCCTTAATTACGCCTATGCTGCAGTGTTTCTCAACCTTGACAATTTTAAGGCATGTGGACTTCATCTCCCAGAATTCCACAGCCAGCATTGCTGGCTGTGGAATTCTGGGAGTTGAAGTCCACATGTCTTAAAATTGTCAAGGTTGAGAAACACTGGTATGGGGTAAGATGCTAAGCTAATCTAGCCAGTTGGGTGACCTTGCAACCGGTCAAGGTCTTTTAGGTCGGGAAGAAGATGGATGATTGATTAAATGCCATCAAGACATCGTTGCCTACTACCGACTACAGCTAGTCCTCGATTTGCAAACACAACTGAGCCCAAAATTTCTGTTGCTAAGCAAGGCAGTTGCGAAGTGAATTTTGCCCCATCTTAACGACTTCTCTTGCCACAGTTGTTAAGTGAATCGCTGCAGTAGTTAAATTAGTGACAAGGTTGTTAAGTGAATCTATCTTCGCCATTGAACTTTGCTTGTTAGGAAGGTCGCAAAAGGAGATCACATGACCTCAGGATGCTGCAACCATCATAAATATGAACCAGTTGCCAAATGACTGAGTTTTGATCACGTGACCAGGAGGATGCTGCAAGGATTGTAAGTGTGAAAAATGGTCATAAGTCACTTTTTTCAGTGCCGTTGTAACTTTCAATGGCCACTTAATGAACTGTTATGAAGCTGAGGACTACCTTTAGCCAGATTTTCTCCATGACCTAACCTGGTCCTTCAAATCCCAACTGTCCACCTATCACCATGGCAACTGAGTTTATCCACCTTGCTGCTGGTCATCCTCTTCTCTTTCCTTGCAACTTTCCAGCATTAGAGCCTTCTCCAGAACTGGATCTCCACAAAATGTGTCCAGAGTAGGATAAGGAGGGAATGCCAGAAAGCAAGAAAACGGCAAAAAGTGTTACACAATGCGATCACGTAACACAGGCTCCTGCAAATGTTGGTGGGAATGGAGTAGTTGGACTCCATTCTAGTCTATTGTTTCACCTCTGTTATACCACACTGTGATCCAGAATATGAGCTGTTACTCCTACCTAGTCAGAATTACAGTCACTTATATATGAGCCAGCAGTGTGCTGCAGCTGCCAAAAAAGCCAACATAGTGCTGGGCTGCATTAACAGAGGGATAGAATCAAGATCACGTGAAGTGTTAATACCACTTTACAATGCCTTGGTAAGGCCACACTTGGAATACTGCATCCAGTTTTGGTCACCACGATGTAAAAAAGATGCTGAGACTCTAGAAAGAGTACAGAGAAGAGCAACAAAGATGATTAGGGGACTGGAGGCTAAAACATATAAGGAACGGTTGCTGGAATTGGGTATGTCTAGTTTAACGAAGAGAAGGACGAGGGAGAACATGATACCAGTGTTCCAATATCTCAGGGGCTGCCACAAAGAAGAGGGAGTCAAGCTATTCTCCAAGGCTCCTGAAGGCAGGACAAGAAGCAACAGATGGAAATTGATCAAGGAGAGAAGTAACTTAGAACTAAGGAGAAACTTCCTGACAGTTAGAACAATTAACCAATGGAACAACCTGCCTCCAGAAGCGGTGAATGCTCCAACACTGGAAGATTTTAAGAAGAGACTGACAGCCATTTGTGAAATGGTGTAGGGTTCCTGCCTGAGCAGGGGGTTGGACTCGATGACCTCCAAGCTCCCTTCCAACTTTTTTTTTATTATTATTATTATTATTATTATTATTACTCTTTGATTTTCCTAACAGAGCATTAGAGGTCTCTTCTGATGTTTTATCTCCCAAAACCCGGAGAACCAAGAAGTGACACAATAAGCAACGAAGGCTCAGTCAAACTGCCCCACCAGATCCTCAGGAAATAACCCAACCTTTCTCACAAACCCATTAGCCTCTATTAATCATCTGGGTGGATGAGTTTCTCCCTTTGGGATTAGAAGGACATTGGCAAGCTAAAAAGCTATCAGATGGTGACTCAGCCACAACCGACGACCGACAATCATATCCTCTGGTATCGGATCGTATCACAACTGCCTGATCTTGCCAACTACTAGTCCGTTGACCTTGCCTCCAACTTAATGAGTGACAAACATTGCAAAGGTTGCACACCTTGAGGTTGTTGCTGGCTGGTGTCAGAAATAAGGGGAGGATATGAACTGGAAACTTCAGCTTGGGATGAGAAGAAGGTAACATTGGGCTAACGAGGACTGGGATGGTTGATTCAGGACTAGGGATAACATGATAGCAACCTTCCAATATTTGAGGGGCTACCACAAACAAGAGAGGGTCAGCTTATTTTCCCATAAGCAAGACAAGAAACAACTGATGGAAACTAATGAAGGAGAGAAGCAACCTGGAATGAAGGAGAAACTTCCTGACAGTGAAAACAATTAACCAATGGAATGGCTCGCCTTCAGAAGTTGTAGGTGCTTCATCACTGGAAGTTTTTAGGAAAAGGCTGGACAGCCACTTGTCTGAAATGGCATAGGGTCTCCTTCTTGACAGGGAGTTGGACTAGAAGACCTCCAAGGTCCCTTCCAGCTCTATTTTGAGTGAAAGTCCAACCTTTCATTTCTCGGTGAGAGCATCAGGAGCCGGGAAATGCCCGCAGATGGCACTGTTGAGACATTGAGGAAATATCTACTCAGATGCTGATCCTTCAGCATTGGCTGAGTAAGAGTCATATTTTTCCCAAAGTCCATATACAATTAGAAGGAATTGGACAATTCCTTGAATGGTAGAGTGGGTTTCACTCTTCTATTCTTGCTCCTGTTTTTGTTGTTATTGGAATTTATCTTTCTGTCTGTCAGCTCACGGCAAGGGTCTTCAAACTTTTATGACTTGTGGACTTCAACTCCCAGAGTTCCTCAGCCAGGCATGAGGAATTCTGGGAGTTGAAGTCCACAAGTCATAAAAGGGCCAAGTTTGAAGACCCCTGGCTCACGGTATGGAAGAAAGGAAGTGCTCAGGACTGAGTCATGAGACTGCTTTTTTGGAAGAACTCAAAAATGGATCGCTGTTCAACCATTGTGACCAAGCCCCCTTGTAGCTGTCATGAAAGTCTCTGCGTGTAGAAAAAGCACATTCACAAGAGATCCCTGGATCCCAGATCGTAAAACTTGATGTACTTTGGCTTAGCCCTTGCTCAGATCACAACAGCATAGTGCAACAAGGGCTCAGCTGCACAGATGGTGCAGTGCTGAATTAGGCTGTTGTGTCATTGCCAACTCAAAAAATGCTTTGAGAATGGAGAGGTTGACTCTCGACCTCAGCCAGGCCAAAGGCATGGGAGGAGCAGAACAGATCTGACTGACTGCGACCCATTATCTGCCATACAGGTAGCCCTCTCGACCAGTCATTTAAAACAACTCTTCGAATTTACGGCAGACCCAATAAAGGGTCTGACCCAGACCTGAAGTTCTGGCGGTTGGTTCCCCCTACAGTCACGTGATGGCTCTTCAGACACTCATCCCCATGCAGAGGGACTGTTTGCAGCATCCCACAATCGTGTGATCACATTTAAAACCGCACGAATTCACTTAACCGATGCAAAAAAACCATCAAAATCATTTTACGATCCTTACAACTTAAAAGCTTCATGGGCCGGCTCCATTACAGTCGTGACTCAAGAACTACTTGTACATAAAAACAGATGGAGCTTCAGCTGAATTGACGTGAATGCCCTCTTTGACTTTTTTGACCATATCCTCCACACACTTCTGGACCAGGGCAATCAGGTTTTCGTCTAGTGCAGTGGTTCTCAACCTTTTTAATGCCGCGCCCCCCAACCGGTCGTAAGTCGAGGACTTTCCCTGCCCGGGAGCGCCGCGCATGCGTGGTGCCGCCCCCTGTGCCGGCCGAGGCATAGCTGGCAAGCGGCAGAGACGGCGCAGGCCGACCACCGGCTGGGCCACCAGCTGGCCCAGCCCAAGGGAGGTAAGGCACCCGCCGGGCCCCACACGCACCAGCAACCCTCCTTGCGCCCGCCGGCCTCCCACCTCCCACCCCTGGCCCTCTTTTACTTACATTTTTAGTAGTTGCTCAGCAGGGAGGGGTGGAAGCTTCCAGACAGCTCGCCTTCGCTGCAGACAACTTGCAGCACTGTTTGCAGAATGGGGCTTTTGGCGGGCTCAGTAGGGCAGAGACAGCCTGGACAGTTCCTATTGGCTTTTGAAAGCCAATAGAATTAGACTCTATTCAAGAGAGTCTATTCTATTGGCTTTCAAAAGCCAATAGAATAAAAGGGAGTAGTACAGCTAAGAAAAAGGGGGGGGGGAAATGGCGGACTGCATTGTTTGGCGACCCCCGTGAAATGGTCATTCGACCCCAAATGGGGTCCCGACCCACAGGTTGAGAACCACT